ACAAAAGAAAGGTATAAATGATATCGAAGTCGCTTATTTGACCAAATTTTATGATCATCGTTACACTACATTTGTATTGTGCACTCGGTAAAGCGTAATCTCCTACTCAGATCCTACCATGTAACTGTAACTGTAACGAGACTGGGTAAGGCTTTTTTTTTTTCTAGCTTCTTTTTTATCTCGATGTAGACCCTAAGATTGATTTTTTTGTCAACCTGTTCCACCAACATATTGTTCATTCAAACCAAAAGCAAGTTAGCGGATCTTCTACGTAATACAATTAATATGACCACGCGTTTTGTTGAAGATCAAAGTTGGCTCATTAGTTCACACACTCACTTGTAATCTTGCGCCATTGAGAAAACATTTAAAAGGTTCTTGATTAAATTTCCAATAACAAGTCATTCTGTATCTTCGGCACTGTAATTATAAGACTGTGATATCAAGATTCATTTCCAAATAATTCGAGGAGAAAATAATTATTCAATGCTAAGAAAGAAGAAAATAATCAGAAAAAGATTGTCTCATCTCTAATCTTACTTGTTCGAAACCGAATGAATTATCCCTTACTACAGTAGTTACGGCTTCTCGACAAGAAAAATTTCAGCTGGCCATGCAAGCAGAAAGTGCCTCGGAAGCGATCACGATGAAATATCTCAAGCAGGCGGAACGGTACCGGCGAGAATGCGAGAAAATTAGGAGGGGAAGAGATATCAAGACTTTTAATGTTGAAAAAATGTGTGTAATGATACATAAATAACCAGATAGTTCCAATGAAAATATAGTGAAATATGAACCAATCCATGAGAATGTGATTTTTACATTAAAATTTCTTATCTTGAAAGTTTATCATCTTGATCATAGAAACTACAAAATGAAACAGCCTCCATTTTTGACACTTTGCTGGAATCATACAACGTTAAAATCAAAGACGAGCGGTAAAGATTTTCTCACAAGCGTGCATGCGTAAGGGAAAATCCTTTTTCCAATGTGGAGAAATATTTCAGAACAGATTTTCTAATATTGATAGGAACAGGCTAATCAACTTTTTCCTTAATTAAAGTTCAACCATGTAATGATCATTTTAATCATTACCAATAGTATTATTATGATTAATGTAATTATCAAAGGAGGCTCCATGCAGACAGTATTCTTCCTTCACAGTAAATGATTGTTGTGAATTAAATTTAAGAAATGTCTTTTTGTGAAATCGGATCGCGGATTACAGATCCCACTCTATCCTCTGATATTTACATTTTCCATCAAAGCCACCTTTTCAAATTAAGCATTTATGAAGAAAGCCAATCATGTTTTACCAGCCATGAGCCTTGGGTTTTAAGTAAGTAATTACATTTTTTCGCTCTTTGTGATTTTGTAACACTCAACATGACGATTGATAATCCTTTTATAGTTTTGGGGTCAACTGAGGCTATTCGGATGTAAAGTCAATGATTATGCACTTTGATGACTGATTCCACTCGGATGCAATCTTTTCCTTGCATGCAATATCTATAAGCTTCCTTTGTTTATAACCAGCTTTCTTATGTTGAAAAGTATTGTGTCCTTCTCTATAGAGCTCTTGGAAATCCCCTAATGGGACAAGACTAAGTTTAAATCTTTCAAGAGTTACCTACCAGCTCCTCAATCGGACGAAGAGTTTATTTGTTTTACCACAATAGCCTCCTTTGCTTTTGTTCGATTTTTACTCATAAATAAGCGGCTTGGATCCATCAACAGAACCAGCACAAGTCACTTAAAGTAGATTTTTGCAAGAATTATCGAACGGAAAACCAGGAGCTGTACAAGAAGGTGATCATGAAGAAATATTCGGCAATTTTCCTTCTCGTAGCCTTAGTCTGCCTCGTAACTAACATACCGGCAGCTCAGGGATTTTCTTACAGCAGACAAGCGTGGAAAAGAGTCTTAGAGGTTTGAACGAACTCTTTCAGTATCATCTTTCAGCTGTGAAAAAAAATATTCTTGTATATGAATCAGTGGTATCGAGGTAAAGAGAGAAGCGTCTTACTGAGGCTATCTGGAATCAATATTAAATTAGAAAAATCATTGTTATTCCATGAAAAAGTACTCTACAAGTTACTGACTCGAGAATGACCATGATTAAGAGAATTTCATGAGCTTTTTTTCCACATAAAAATATGCAGCATGCAAAAAGAGGGGAATTCGAAATCTTGGATAAAAACTCACCAACCATGGTACAAACAAGTCACCTTAAGACATACGTAAGCTTTTTTTCATTGTTCGTCATAAAAAAAAAACAGAATGCGAAAAAATTATTCTTAAAAAGAATATGACAATAGAGGCTAACTGTATGAAACGACATTGTTCACTGAGTAAAGCTTAGCATCTAAGCACTGCATGCAATACAACGCAGAAGCGATAGCCTGTCTTACAAACTTAGAAAAAACCTTGACATTTCTGCTTTAAATCTTTAGTGAGGATTTGAAATAAATACACAATAGCTAACATGACCTGTTTAAAGTTTTTCATGCTTATAAAACGCGAGGGAGAAATCTTCATTAGTCTGAAGTGTGTCAACTAACACTTTGTAACTGCCATATGTCTAAAGAAGTTATCATTTGGCAAAACTGTTTTTTTTTGTCTGCTATATTCTCCAAATACCCAAAACAGAATTTTTAAACGGTAAAGTAAATTTGATATAAAAATGTTAGCTTTTTATGGTACTTTCGTTCAATGCGTGAATGATATATTCTCTTTCAACAAAATATCTAATGTGGGTATTGTATCCTTAAAAAAGAAATTCTTAAGAAAAGAACAGAATGAAGCGCTTATTACGTTAAGTGACACGTTTTCTATTACATTTTCAGGCGATGCATGACACTCGAAGTATTTGTCAAGAATTACAAAAGCGCTGTTATTCTGAGACCGTAAGAGACCAAAGAAAGCAGGCGAACCCTTGAAGAAGAACTCTGATGTTTAGCAGCCGGTCGGCCACCCACATCGTTAAGTGGTGAACTGAAGCGCACGGAAATTGATAAATATTTGTTCTTGAGTCGTATATGTGATGTAAATTTTAGGATTTAGCGGTAGTATTTCATGTTATCTTGGAAGATTGGTTAGTTGTCTGACTGTCTGTTTTAAACCTGAAATGGATGCCTGCTGTTCAAAGCTCTCCAACATGTTTCTGAATTTCCCTTTGCTTTGTGTTAGCACGTGCTTATTGCAAAATTTAGATGACCACGTAAAACTACACATATTTGACGTGATCTTGACAAGTTCTGCTATACTCTCCAAATACCCAAGAACCCCACAAAACTGACTAAGCATAACCAAACTAATACCACAGTAATAGGGGTGGGCGAAGAAGCGCCAAGCAACCGCGCCAGAAAGAGGGTGTGGTTAAAATTAAACTTCCTTGGTGAGTCCTTCATCACTATGAGCTATGGCACTACAAATCATACTTCAATATACAAACACATACAGAAACATTGAACCCATGATCACGGCTCCCCTTTATCCTTCAATTTGCTCATAAGTAACCAGAAAATTTCTTAAAAATATGAAATTTGAAACAGGCCTTGAGCTGCTGTTGAAGCTTGCGGCCTCATTTGAATTTTAACACCCTCATTCAAAATGTTATTGTAGGACAAGATGTCAAGATCATAGAGAATTTTTCTATACCTTTGTCCGCGAATAAAAAGAGGCAATGTGGTGCAGCTAATACTGATGAGCCTCCGTTCATCAAGCCCTCCTGAACCTAAAACGCCAAAATGGTCCAATTAACGGTGATCTTCACGAAAAAAGAAAACTTCCAAGTCAGCATCGAAAATAATGTCAGATTGCATCTGCTTTTTTTACGTCACCTCGCGATTGATCAAAAGGACAGAGGATCGATGGAAAAAAAACAAGCACAAAAAACTAACAGATCCTGCGTTTTTCACAGCAACTGGACAGTGAACAGCACTGATCCTTACGATGATACTTTTGTGATCACATAATTTTCCTTTCCCGATGGGCAAAAAGCTGCGATAAATCGAAATTGACGGAAGCGACTTTTAATTTCTTCGAGGGCTCTTCAGAATAGCAAGAAATCTAAAGAAAGAAAATGGATAGGAAATAGACCTTTTGGAATATGCTGACATTGTTTGATACTTTCACCATTAGCTTATTTGCAGTGAACTTCCTTGTTTCGGAACTAATGCCCGAACAGCGATAAAATCAGGCATTGTTTGAATCATTTGCCCTCTAGAAGGGAGTTGTCCATGTTGCCATTTGCGACGAACTGAAAAGTAATTTTACAATGTCAAAAGTTTTATAGTTAGATATATTGCCGAGGACAACTATTTCTCTCTTAAATTGATCATGCATGCTGTAGTTAAATAATTCTTCATGTTTTATCAGTTATATGAACGAAAAAGCTTTAAAAAAACCACAAAAAAACATAAAAGCCAAGTAGCCTATTTTAGCGATAGTAAGCTGGCAAAGTTATGCGTAAGCAACGTTATCTAAACACTGTAATAGCCGGTGGTAGAAATGACATGGTTTTCAAGTTCATATTCCTCAGTTCGTCTATACTTAAATTTGACCACTTAGTTTGATTAAACCAAAAATAGGTTTGCCACGATCGGAATTGCGGAAATCCTCATAATGGAACAGTGAAACATCTTTGTCGTTTTCTAAGCGTTGCCGCCTCGTCTATTTCACCATTTGAATCAGCGGAAAGAGCTATTTATAAAAAAAAATTACACTTAGAGTAAAAGATAAGTGGAAAAAGACAACGGCAATTTTCTTATCCACTTATCAACTATTTAGTCTTAAAGTAATGTTGCTAGAATATGTAGGGTCAGAGATTATCTCTACTGGACTGCGCTTTCTATCAATTGAATGTCAGCAGACCCATGCGCTACTTCGGAAGATCACTACGAGAAAGAGTTCGTAAGTCAAGAACCGATGGCGAGCTATTTCCAAGTTTTCCGATTTCCCGATTTACAGTCCGAGTGAGTTCGTTATACTAAGCCAGTACATCAATATAAAGAGCCGTGTACTGTTTTATAAAAGACTTTTACTACAAAATCATTCTTCTTTGGGTTCATCGAAGAGGGGGTTCTCAAAATATGAGGAACGCACGAAACATCAAAGTTAATTCATAAAACCGGCTTCGAAATCTGGAACGCTTTTAACACAAGCGTATGAAGCAACTGCTGTCAATTTTGATCGATTTCCATGTCACTGAAAGGTTTATTTCGATTCCAAAAAGGTATCATTGTATTTAACTGTAGATTTTAACTTTAATCACAATTTCAAGAAAAGAAGTGACCTCATACAAAAACACAGAGCTTATAGATTTAGTTCTTTACTTCAGCACTTTTCAGAAAATTGCATTCGGTTCTTGAATGACTGAAACGAAATACACCCTAATTATTTGGAAAATTATAAACACAGATTTGAATAATGTACGATCAGTTTACTTCCTGTTCATAATTCATTTTACGATGTATATTTATTAATCGTCTTTGTCATACTTCTTTATGACACGAGGAACATTATCGATTAAAAGTTAAAAAGCCTTTCGGAAGAAGAGTCCTGCTCACTTGTCAAAGATAGATTGGGAGTTATGTCTATTTCACCGGCTCATTAATGCAATCAAGGAAATTGGCTTCCATTTTACATCCGTGAGTATTAAATACCAACAGATAAGGCGGCCTACGCGCTTTCTCACGAGGCGTTGTGTGGCCGGAACAACTTTTCTGTCAGTGTATCATAGTTTTTAATTTGCAAACGTCCCTTATTTACTCAAGCAGACGACAAGAACTATTTAACTACCTGCATGTGAAGGATCTTTTTAATGAATCAAGAGCTCTGCTGGATATAAAGAAGAACATCCCGTGTTAATAGAAACGCGTCGCAACTGGAAAAATGAAGAGGGGTAGTAGTTTTTGTATTGTTCTGATAGCATTTGTTTTAACAACACTTGTGGTCCTTCGACCCTGCCAAGGACTAACGGCCGGTGGAAATAACTGGTCTAGAAGATCAAAACCTGAGGTGTGTATTAAAACGTCTTCCTTATATCTCAATAACAGAACTTACTGTACTCCTTTAAACGACCAGACTTAGTGCAAGATAAAGTGGTCGCTTAAGAGCGGCAGTGATTCCAAAACTGTTGGGGTAAACATAGATTTTTTAGTACAACTAATTCTAAATCAAGTAAGACAGTTTGGAAGTATGAACCTGAAATAAGCGCATGGAAACAACGAATTGTTTAGTCTTGTGCATTGGAATTCTAACTATAATATCAGTGGTTTTCGTGGCTGTAGAACATAACTCCCTTGCAATCTTATGGACGGCAGCTTACAGACGAGACAGAATAAAGCTTTTTTGGCTTGGTTGTCCTTTGTCTTGGTTGCCAAAGACAAAGGTTTTGAAACAATAATTGACTAAGAAACAAAAAATATTGTTTGTTTTATTTAATTTTATGTTATTGTCCTCATTATATTGTTGTAGTTGCCACTGAAAATTCCTTACAGCGGAAGTGGCAATAAAATATGCATGTATATATGTAGCTTGAAACTTTCGATTTTATGGGGAAAGGCATTTCCCTCACGGTTGGAGTAATGTGTTTGGTGTCGATCGATAAATCCACGAAGGTCCACGCCCCAATGAGCGCCATTGTGTTGCGTTTAACATGTCATCTTTACATTGTAGGAAAATAAATAAGAGCCAGTCGATGTGATATCCCATGATGATAACCATACCCCTGGCCGCTGCAATAAACGCAATTAGTGCTTTAGCTGAAATCTACTTTTATCTTCTTCACCCCTTGCCAACCCTGTCTCATCGAGTAATTTTTTTCAATTTTTTTGTGTGTTTTTTGGAATTTTGGTTTTTTTCATATCGTATCAAATTGACACCTAGGCACAAAATATCACAACGCGCTTGAGGAAGTATGAGCACATTCAAGGCGCAGTACAAGTGTAGTATCATTGTATCATCATTAGATCAAGACCTTTTACCTCAATGCTAACCTCTTGCCCAGATACTTAGTCCCGGAGGCTCTACGTTTGGGATCATACTGAGGCCAATAAAAATTCTCAACTTTAGTCAATAGTATCCTGTGAAATCTCCTTTAATCATATGGTCTTAAAGATAAAATATTTCCTCTTTAATTAAAGGAGAGCGACAACACAAAATGATGAAACGTCTGCTTTGTAGCTGTGTTGAAGATGTTCTCATTACTTTGATATGAGTAGAAAAAGCATGGTTTTAAGTTATCTTTGTTCTTTTTTGACCACTTCCATCAGTGTGACGTATTGGCAAATCTTTTTCTGGCCTAAATATAAAAATTATACGAGTACACGATCAGTTAACAATATAAAATGCTGCTCCAAATTTTAGTCAGAGCAGGACCTTTGAAACAACTCTCATTTACATAATTGCAGATATATATCCAGTACAAAGTCACTCATCAGTTGTTGCAGTAATGTCGATTCGTTCAACTTTTCGTGGGTCAGATCATATTAGAACTCAGGAAATTGAAAATCATTACTTTACATTCTCCTAACATTTTAAATCAGCAGCTTCCGATACCCACATTTGCATTTAAGACTCCGAATCGGAAGACAATAAATCCTATTATTTCCGCGCCCACGTCGCCAGAAGCTTAAAGAACCAAATCGCATTTAAAAAAACAAATAATTTCCTATTCATGTGCCAAATGAATAAAGTTTGAAATCTTCGTGTTGAAATGAACTTTTCAAAACGTCATTTGACAATTTAAAACGGTTTATTAGATTTCAGGACACTAAACCTTGGTAGACTATATGCACACCTTTTATGACACTTGTGCAACGTTCTAACTTAGAAAAAAAATATGGAGCCGTAAAACGCCAAGTGAAATTATCAGGGAGAGTTTCCATATGTTTAAAAAGCAGATTTTACATAAAAAATTCGCTTGTAATGCTACGTAGCGTGCAAATTTATGCATAGAAATATGAAACGGCTCAAAAGATCAGGCCTTTACTTGAACATCAAAAATTACGATTCCGACCAATATCCTACTGGTTGAGAAGAAGTTATTCAGACTTGGCGTTTATTTCCGAGCGATCATTATTTACGGGGCTTAAACAGTTTTTTTTTAAAGGTAAAGTTGCTTATTCAATCAGCTCTCAAACGCTATAAATGTGAATAATGATCGTCTTGAGAATGATCTTCGAAAAGAAACCCCGCCCGCGAACTGTTCCTAAAACAGAAAATCATGCAGAAATTTTGGGTGTTTTTTCTCGTTGTTTCGTTCGTCGCTGTAGCTAACTTCATTTCAACAACCAACGGAATTGCCGCCGGTGGGTCTACATGGAAATCGAAAAGAAATTCGGAGGTTAGATCAATAGAACTTTTCTTCAATGACTATAATTTACACC